CCCTGTGACGTTAGCAGCCTTCGCGGCTATTTATATCCGCGCGATTGGATTTCATTCATGAAACCGAGGCCTGGTGTGTCTGCGCTCTCGGGCGCGGGTTGCAAAGGTGCCTCCGCTTTACGCAGACCCGAGGAGCCGGGGCTCGAAGGCGGATTGCCCGGGACCAACATGCGCAGAGCATGGGAGACCCCGGTCCTTCTCCCAAGCAGCCGGGAGGGGTGGGTCTGGGCTATTCGTGCCCCGGTCCCGCACCCCCAACGTCCCACCCATTCCCGTGCATCCGCTGGCCCTTTGTCCCAGGCTCTGGAAAAGTAAGTTGGGCCACTAACCGGCTGGGCAGCATGGCTTTCTTCCCCCCAGGAGCTGGCCGGCCGCGGACTCCGAGGGAGGACATTGGCTTTTGTTTCAAAACCGAGCCCAGCTGCTGACTAAGGGCTGCGTTAGCCCAGCCTCCTCCTCCCCTGGGCGGCTGCACGTGCTGGCTGGCTCCCCCCTCTGGGTTACCTTCATCCGCGACCGGGCTCAAGGGGTCCTCGCGGGGACGTAGGGAGGCGCCGCTGACCCCGACCCGAGTGAGGGGGCGATTTACCCTCTCCTGCAAATGGCTGAGTGAGGAGGTGAAACTGCCTTTCTGGTCTCTCACCGGGTATCAGAATTCATGGCACTCAAAGAGACCCCATCCTTCCTCACAGAAACTCTTGCCCAGGCTGACTGGGAGTCCTGAGGACACATCCAGGGGTGGGTTTCTGCATTCACCTAAGAATGCTTATGGAATGCTGCCTGGATGACAGGTACTTCGCCAAGCCCCAAGGGGTGACAGTGAAGGCAACCAGGTCGGTCTCTACCCTCACAGAGCTTTCCGTCTGTCTGCTACATTTCTATGCCTGAGCCCCCCACCCCCCCCTTTCTAAGGATACAACCGTTGGGAAGGGGGGTGGAAAGATACCAATACGCTCAGCTACCTTAAGGGATGTATTCATTTAATTAATCTTCATAGAGGAGCCTGTGCACCAAGAGCTAAAAAAAATATGGCCACAATGTATCCTTGGCCTCAAGGAGTTCTCAGGTAAAGTGTTCCCCAGACAGTGAAAGGCTGGGTAAAGGAGAACGCATTTTATTGTAAGGGCTATTTTCTGTGTGCGTTCTCTCTGAAGAAATAGATTTTTTTGCTTACACCTCTCTGTCCCTCGGTTTCTTTTAGGAAACCATCTTAAATTTCCCAGATGGGTTACTCTCCCTCTCTAGAAAGCCCAGATGAATTCAGTCCATCAGGTATTGCCACCCTCGTTTATATTCCCTCATGGAGGCAGACTTGCCTTGTGCTCTTTGAATCCCCCTGAGACTTCAGGACATGATGGAACTCATGGTTTTTCTAAGGAAAGACATCACGGGCAGCCTGCTTTGTTTAAGCTAGCCTCACTGTACCGTCTTTGAAAATGAAGTTACTCAGGCCCTAATTTTTGAAACCCAGAAGAGAGGGGTGTGAAAAGTCAAGTGGTCTCGTCTAAGAAGTTCAAGACAGATACAGGAGGGGGTGATCATTCACTTGGCACAAAACTGACTTCCCTTAGGCTATTGAAGAAGGACTCCATTTTTGAAAGACTTAATCAAGATACATTCTCTTCAGGAACACAAATCTTGGGAAAGTTAATTAACCCTGTTCACTCCTAGCAATCAGTCCTCTTCATTGCAAGCCATTTCTCTTCAAACTGCCCAGGACTAAGAAATAGTGTAGAAAGTCAAAGGAAATGGGAATCCGTAAATACTGTGGCCCTCACATATGCGACAGGTACAGGATGAAATGGTTTAAAACCCATTTTTCTCATTTACTATCCATAACCAGTGAGGTAAATGCAATTAGCATCATCACCGTTTTTTAAAAGAATTATTTAATTTTATTCATTAATTCATTTATTTTCACTTGGTCAGAGAGAGACACACACACAGAGAGAAGGAAAGTGAGTAAGTAAGCTACCAGGCCTGGGATTCAAATTGCGGTCACCATGTGGGAGTGTCCAGTGCCTTAACCACCATACCACCAGCTGGTCCCTCATAACCATTTTATAGATGAGGTAATTGAGGCATAGAGAAGTTAACTGTTCGAGGTTTCAACAGTTCAATTTGCACCTGAGCTGTGCCTGTGCCAAAGTCTTATCACTAACCTGTTTTTTAACACCATGACTTTCCTCAATTTCTTCTGTTTCCTCAGTCATACATTAAAAAGAGTTAAGTGACATGCTTCTCTTAAACACCAGGCGGTGCCACGACTGGGAAGACACTCAAAGAGATCAGCTGGTAAGCTAACTTTCAACTATTTCCCTCTGCTTCCAGGGCACTGAGGCCTTACAAAGGATGGTCCTTCCATCGGAGAAGAACCGCCCGTCATCCTGAAATTGCCTAAATACACAAAGCGGAGGGAAACTAACTGGAAGAACTTTGAGCATAATCAAACTGAAACAATAATACGAAAATGACAGAGGACAGGCCAATTTGTTCTAAGAAGTCCTTTCAAATGAGGGCAGTGATCTAAGAGGTGGTATCAGCCCCAAACTTCACATAAAATACCCTCTTCTGAAAAAGTTGGGGAAAAGGCAGCACAAGGTGCTAACGATATTTTGCCAACAGGAGAGGAGAGAAAAGGAGCAATAGCAAATGGGAATGTCTCCCTGCTCATGGCATCACCACACAATAATCCACCTTTGTCTAGTAAAATTCTTGCTTACAAATAAAATCAATACTATTCACTTTAAACAAACATAAAGATAATGACCTACGTGGAATTAAACCAGCACTGAGTCTTTAAACACTTTCATGTTTGTATTGCACAAAAGTGGTTAAGAAACTGTTCACTAGCTTTTATGGTAAATAGCTTACCAAAGTCCTAGGGTGAAAAGAAGTCCTACCCTCGAGATATGGAACTGTACCATTATCACAGAAGAATACCGCTCATGTTACCTTCTTGAATCCCCTCTCAATCATTGCTCTGTCCTCCACCTCCACAAATTTGTCGTTTCGAGACTGTGCTATTAATGGGAGCATACAGTATGTAATGTTTCAAGATTGATTTTTTTTTTTTATTAAGCATACTGCCCTTGAGGTTCATCCAGAGTATTGCCTGTATCAATAGTTCATTCCTTTTTATTGCTGAGTAAATTTCTATTATATGGAGGTACCAGTTTGTTTATATATTCAGCCACTGAAGGGCATTTCAGTACTTTCTAGTATTTTCTATTATGAAAAATAGTTCTGTAAACATGCGTATATAGGTTTTTGTGTAAACACAAGTTTTATTTTATGAGTGTCCGGGGATGCCACTGCCAGGTCCTAGGCTTTGTAAGAAACGGCTACACTATCTTCCAGCGTGGCTGACTCATGTACACACTCAGCGACGTGTGAGACCTGCACATCCTCGCGAGCAGCTGCTATTCTCGCTATCTTGTACAGAATTTCAGTTGTTCTGATGGTTGTGGAGTGGCAACGCACTGCATTCCTGTAATAGCTAATGATGTCGAACATCTTCTCATGGGCTTATCTGCCTTCCTTATCTACTTCTTGTGGAAATATTTGTTCGTAACTTTTGCCTATCTTATCACTGGATTGTCTTTTTACCACTGACTTTTTTAAAGTTTGAAATATACATAAATTCTGGGCTCACACAATTTTCCCACTGGAAATGAAATACTACCTCAAGATAACTCGATTTGATTTACTTTAGAGAGAGATTTTTTTGCTATAGGGCACTTGGCATTTGTCGGAGACAAAAAGCGAAATATCACCCCTGAGGGCGTATGGCCACGCAGCAACAATCCCTTCTCCACTCTCGGGATCTTAGGCAGGCATGAACATGTGCGGGTCATGAGTTTTAAGCCACTGGGTCTGGGACTCGAACTGAGTAGACTACGTGGGAGTCTGGCCTTAACCATTACGCCCTCTGCTGGTCCTGCTAACTCTATTTTCAACTCAATCACTGTAGTTCAACATTCCTACTGCCATTAGTTTTAGCAAGAGTATTCTCAGGTATCACAGACACTTACGCGACACTCCTACAGAGAGGGCCTTTTCGGGTTTATCTTACGTCCACATTTCAGCGTTCAGTAACCGACGCTGAGAACTGGGCCGCCAGGCTCACTGGCCTTGCCTTCTGCGCAGGTGCACACGCGCCACCTCCGGCCAGCGCACCACTACGCAGCCTCAGCTGGGACCAACCCAGCCTAACCAGAGACCGTTTGTGCAGTTCATCTCTCAGCTTTTGGTGCAGCTGGATGCAGTCGTTGGCTCTTTAGGGGATATTATCCTGGACGACGACTTCCAGCTGTTACTGAGAAATTTCACGAACAAGTACTGCTAGAGATTTGAAGATATGGAAGAAAAGAAACTCACCTACGGGCCTATTTGCAAGAATAGATGTGTTTGGTAAAAAGGTATATTGAAACACGGCTGCTGGAGCGATGCATCGAGTTAATGGGTGACCCCCGCTGCAGTCAACGTTGCGGTACCTCAAAGATGTAGTGGTGAGGTTGGTGACACGGTCCACACACTGCTCACCTGTATAGGTTTTCTGGCTCTTAAGGAAACGCCGACTACAGAGTAGGAGAAGGCTGAGCACTGGACTTAAGCAATGTTTAAAGGCAATTTCCTTTACAAATGGTTTTGCTTGCTAGCTTCCAACAGTGGGAGGGGTCTGAATAGCACCTGCAGAAGGGGCTGGGCCAGGCTCTGGCTAAGGTTGACTGTGTTGACGGGCAGATCACTGTTCTCAGGTTCTTCATTAATGCTAATTACGTGGATTGATGGGTCAAAAGAAAATGACATGACTTCCTTGGCACCTCTTTGTCCCAGAACAAAGTGTATTCAGTTACTCTGATATTCCTCTTGGAGTGGATGTTTCTGAGTCAGACTAGTCTGGGGCAAAATGTCCAGCATTCCACATGAGAATCCTTTTTCCAACTTTACTGTTGTTATGTCAACAACATGGAAAAACTCAGCATCACTGACCTTGTATGTCCTAAGTACCATAGGCAGGCTTTGCATGGATCTCTCTGTGTGTACAACTCTTACCCAAGGATAACAGTGAAAACCATTTAGCCCGGGTGGCCCAGCTGTATTGACAACTTGAGGATTTATCTCAGTGTTACTCAAACCAGCTCTTGAGATCTCCAAAGCTCCTATTTTCTGCCCATTGTTCTGGGGGAGATCAGAGCTAGTTAGGCTATGGGATCAACAGAATGTCATGTTATTTCCCTGAAAGCTCCAGCTGGAAATGAACTCCCTGTCTTGCATTTGTAGTCTCGTTATCACTGTTGGTCCTGATGTAACCCCCCCACCCCCAACACTTAGGCATCATTTTGGAAAAAAAAAAAGTTTTTTTAAGAGATGAATATTCAATCTAACCTAGAGGATCCAATCTTGGAATTTTCACGATAATCTATTTAAGTGTAAAGTATATTCAATAATGTGTGCTTTTTATTGTTAGTTAGGTGAAGGCAACGTTGTTTACAGTGCAGTTCCTATTTTACTGGGTCCCAGTGAATTTGAGGGCCATGTACTGAAAAGAGACAAAATGATATCACGTTCTTACAGCATGTTAAGTTTTTTGTGTAGATTTGCATAAAGTCCTTCTGTGTGGATCCATTTGTTAGGCTTTCTGTTGGGGTAGGGTTTGACAAAAATGTGGTTCTGCAAGGTCTGCAATTCTATCTGTATTTTTCTGTCAAAATCTCTCCTACCAAGATGGTATTCCACTGGTCCAGCTCAGCCTGTGTAAAAGGAGGCAGCAAACAGCTTTCATGTCCTTTGTCATTTGTCTGGCTTTGTTTAGACATGGTATTACAGATTGGAAAACATGTATGTCACAACTCTGGAAGAAGAAAATCACATTTAATGGACAATGTGTATCTTTGACATTCTTAAAAGTAAAAATATAATTCTGCACTGGATAATAATCTCCACTTGAAAGGGACATTTGTTTCAGGAACAAACAATGTTCTTAACATTATGAGGTGTTAATGCTAGACTTTGCCTTACCTAATTAAAAATAAATTACATTTATGTGTCATAATGTGTTTTAAGGCTATCTTGCCTGACCTACTGTTTCACATAATAACTGTCTCTTCACTAAACAAGTCCAAAAAAATGAACATACAGTAAAGAGAGCAGAAGATATTGGAAAAAGAAAGAAATGGAATTGTATTTGTTCATTTCACAAACTGGTCGTGTAATTTAGTGCTAATTCCTTATTACACTATACCTCCATGCCCCATCTGTCAAATGGGGACAAGAATAATAACTTTCTAAAACATGAAGAGGACTAAATAAGGTTTTTATTAATGTATTTTTTTATTTTTTGGAGAGGTTTTTGCTATAGGGCATGTGCACTCACCAAAAAGACAGAGAGAGACAGAGAGACAGAAAGCAAGAACTCACCCCCGAGGGGGGATGGCCATGCCACGATCTCTTCTCCTTCATTCTTCTCTCGGGATCTTGGGTAAGCACGTACATGCACCCAGCGTGAGTTTAAGCCACAGGGTTCAAGACTTGAACCACAGTCGACTACATGGAAGTCCAGAGACATAGCCATTACATCATCTGCTGGTCCACTAAATAAGGTTTTAGAAAATATTTTGTAAAGTATAAAGCTCTAGGGCCACCCCATGGCCTGGTGGTGAAGGGAGCCAGATCCCACATGGCCAACTGTGCAGTTCAAGTCCCTAACATGGTGGCTTCAGAAACATACTTAGCACATGTGCATGTATGCCCCAAATCCCAACAGGATGGGGAAATGGAGGAGAAGTGATTTCAGCATGACTATTCCCCATTGAGGGGTGCTTTGTCCCTTTCCTCCTCTCTCTGTCTCTCAGGTGAGCACTTGGGCCCTCTGGCAAATGAGAATAAAAAATATAAAGCTGTATACAAACTGGTAAGAATAAAAACGGGATCATTATGAGGCCATGTAAAAATTCTGTGTAGCACATAGTATTATTTGATTTGGGAGTACCAAAGACGAATGAAAATGAAACTATAGCATTCCTACAGATCAACCATTGACTACTGACTGTTAGCATTAAAACTAAGAGCTTCCACCAAATTTCCTCTCTGAGGTAGAAAGTTTAGTTTCAAAGGTTTAACATTTTTTGTTCTGTCACTGGCTTATAACTGCTATGTTCTCTCCCATTTATAGAAATGAGCTAAACTATATGCTGAAACTAGAAAAATAAGTGGCCCATACATATACACACATTCCATTTCGGAAAAACAATTCCACTTCATCTTTCTGTCATATTTTCCTGCTTTCTGAGCATCTTTAATATACATGTTATCCAGTCTTCATGACAACCTTGAGAACCATTATCCCCAATATGAGGAATGAGGAAATGGTGTTTCTCAGAGAGCAAAAATTTACTCGCTGTTAGCAGAGAGGGAACTGGAATTCTGACTAACCTAGAATTCTCTGATCTTCTGACCATATGGAAGTACATATTCTGAAGTAATTGAGTGCATAGTAAACACCATATATAGATGCCACTTTGAAATGGAATATATGTTTTTTTTAGAAATACCAGTGACCTAGAAAGTAGACCTACCTGAAAGTCCTTAGGAAAAAAAAGCTGAATTGTGCGTTTTCCTTAACTGGCATTCCTACGCCTTTCATGATAGACTCTGATCTAAAACACAGAAGATCTGACTTGTACTGCACGCAAGGACATCTGTCCTCAGGCACACAGTTTCAGAGTGTCTCCTTAGCTCTGTAAATATTTACGTTTGCTTTAAGATTTCACATGACATACATTTACCACTTGGTAAACTCCTCTTCACGGACAAGTAGTGAACTGCATCACATGGGAACGACATAAGCAGTTAAACACTTCAGGATCTACATCGGAGGCACACAATCCCTTAGCTTGTAAACATAAGCCAATGACTCCAGGGATCAGAGATGAAGACTTAATTCCTGTCATGGCACCAGTCTTAGAGGTGCCTGAAGTTCTGGTGAGAGGCGTGAGCACTTCATTGCATCTCCATCCCCACTGTGTTTTGAATAGCATTATGGGCAGAAAAGCCCATAGTAAATGACTTTTAATCATGGAAAAGGATAAAACGTTTATGGGACACTTTAGACACACCTTAGGTATAATTTCTTCTAATCGTATGTATGCGTCATCTCTCTGCTT